TGTGACGCTCTTTCAAGCTGTGATGAAATTTTTATCCAGGCTTGTCTAGATCAAAATTTTACTCGCAAGGGGAAAGGTCTATACCATAAAGACAGAGCAAATATAGAATAAAATATTTCGCTTACCTCAAAATTCCGCAACAGATGATTCTTTACAGGTCTTTACAGATGAAACAGACTGTTGCGGAATTTTGAGGTAAATTCTATATTATAATATTATTAATAAAATATATATTACTAAAAGAATATATATATATATATATATATATATATATATATATATATCTCGTTTATTAAAAGTAAGTTATCAGTAAGTTAAATAGGTTTAATATATCGTTCCTCGACTGTTCTTCTGACCTGCATGTTTTGTCAAGAGTCCACGCATCAATGAACAAGTAGGCATTTTTGTTACATAGCTAGTCTATACTCGTGAACTCGTGAATATACTCGTGATTTCACTTTTGCTTTTTCCCTTTTGCCTTTGCCAGTGGTGCCTAAATTACTTTGAATTTGTACTCGAGTAAAAGTAGAAGTAAAACAATAAAACGACTTGAGTAAGAGTAAAAAATACTGCATGGAGGCAAAACGTACTTAAGTAAAAAGTACAAAATATCCTTAAAAAATACTTGCAGTAAAAAGTAAAAGTATACTATTGTCTGTAGCGTGTCGGGGGAGGGACTTTCCAATGGATTGACACACAATAAACACAAAACAACATACACATTATACAGCTAATTCAAAAAAGGTATCTTTTGCAAACCTTGAACTCTAAACGTGCAAAGCATAATGGGAGCATCATTTAATCGGTTTAGAATTAGAGACATGGTAAATATCTTGTTACGAGAACACTTCATTCACAATATTCAATATTCAACTACTAAGCTTGAAACTTGTGCTCCCATTAAGCTTTGCGCGCTTATAGAGTTTAAAGGGATATAGCCCGCGTGCAGGCCCAAGGGGAACTGATATAGTGGGCCTGCAAGCAAGGCCCGGTATTTTGTAAAACGTCCGGCTTTTCATAACACGCCCCATTCGCACGTCAATTGTCAAAAAAGAACCAATGACAGCACCCAAATATTAACAAACAAACTCGCATTAAAATGTTGCGGGGTTTTCTCTGCTTATTCAGAACAATAAACAGTGTGTAATTAATGGCTGCGTTTTAACTCCAAAAAAGCAAGCAACGCAGTCAGTAAATGCCAAATTTGCCAGTGCTCATTTTCAACTAAATCGGAACAGGCAAATTAGGACGAATTTCAACAGAAATCCAGTCTCAAACTTCAAATCGTGAGGGAAGTCGTGCGACTACATTAGCATTTATAATGTATGCTTCGCTGTCGCCATTGTTATATTAAAATAAATTGTCTCACTTATCAGATCGTGTGTGCAATTCTTGTTGGCGGCCGAAAGTACGAAATTTATTTCAGTTATTTCATTTGGTAAAGAACTCTACAAAGAAGAGAGCGTTCAGAGTCCAGATCGTTTCGTTTCAAACGGCAATTTAATACCCTCTTCTGTTTCCTCTCTCAGCAAAGCCTTGTAAATCGCAAAGTGTTTCGAATATGCTTACATGCAACTGCCTCTAAATCTTCACAGCGAAAAGCGCTGTTTTCTTCAGTGTAAAAAGAGAGTCAACATCAACCGAAAGATAATTTTCTTGAGCAACATATAACGTATCAAGTCTGTTTGAAATGAATGAAACTGAAGTAAAGGTTACTATAGTTTACCCCAGTCGTATAATGTTGCTATTCCAACACCTCACGACAAGCAATCCCCATTGGCATAACGCCGAAAACATCTCTTCCTTCAGTATATTAAAACAATAAACAGTCCGTTCTTGTTCCATTTATAATCGAAAAAAGCGATCAATTTTCGAATTTTAAGCTTATCGAGAGCCTTTGTGATGAATCAATGATCTAATTATAGAATCCAACAGCAAACAGCCAATCAGAATGCCGCGTTCGTCGGCGAACGCGGAAAGTACAAAATACCGGGCCTTGCTTGCAGGCCCACTATCAGTTCCCCTTGGGCCTGCACGCGGGCTAAAAGGGATGTGGCAATATATTTTTTTATTATTTCATTTTAAAGAACTTTTAAAATTATATGTTAATCTCCTTTACCAATTTTGCGTACCTTTATTATTTCTTGAAATATTTTGACTTAAAATAATTTGCTGTCCGCCATCTTGGATTAATTTTTATCTCATCGGTGATTTTAGTGACGTCATAAGCAGGGTTAGTCATATAAAACTACATCTAAATGACCAAATAATATTAAGTCTTGTTTCAAAAGTCGTCAGACAGCTTTTTATTTCAAATAGTTACTGAAGTATATGATTTTGGGCTCATAATAACCAATTGCTCTATGGATAAAATTATTGCGTGACCTGCTTATGATGTCACATGCATATCCGCCAAAATCCAAGATGGCGGAAAGCTCGCTGATTTGTGATTTTTTCTGTTCAAATATCTCAAGAAATAATAAAGTCACGCAAAATCGGTAAAAGAGATTTACATATAATTTTAAAAGTTCTTCCAAATGGAATAATAAAAAAATATATTGCCGTATCCCTTTAAGGTTTAGAAGTTCATTAAATAAATAATTCTTATAATTAAGTCACAAACGAGGGATCCCAGACGCATGTAGAGGTCCTATTACCTATCCCAAAATTAAAATAATTCAGGAATGATTAAACAAAAGTGTTACGAGGCTTTATTTAGGTAGTGTAGTGAATCGTTACAGTGTTTCTAATTATCGTTACTAATGTTAATATTGGAATAGTTCTGCTTCCAAGTTATCTTCTTCCTTCAGCCTTTCTTCGTTATTTTCAGTTGTATTCTTTGTCGTTTTGTCTTGTTTCGTTTGAGCTTCAATAGCTTTTCATCATTTAAGCTTTATTCAGCCTACGTCCACTGGCGAATTTGGGTTGTACACACCCTTTTATACTAACGGTTGAGGGATCCACGTGATGTAGCAAGTGGTGATTTGTATCCAACCAATCAACTTTGAGGTTTAAAAGTGTGGGTTGGCGTTGCTAGCTCGTTCCAGCCCTCAAATTATGTTTATTTAAGGCGTTGTCGCACTTGTCGAGTTGGTTCACTGTTCAATCGATCATCATTAAAATCTGTTCAAAACTTAAAATACTTATCAAAATATCATAGTAAAAACTTCAAACTATACCTATGTGAACCTTACTTTACCTATACTAAACTAAATTTACTTACAATTTTATTGAACCAAGATTTTGATGACGTAATGTTATCATTACTCAACCGCGTGAAATGTACCGAAGAATGATTGACAGAAACACTCTAAGCATGCACATTTTCATGTCAAAGAAGAAGCAGCCTTGGACTTTAAATTATGTAAATACAACAGCCCATCATGCAAGGCTATCGTCCAACTTTGACAGTTTGACAAATTATTTATCTTGCCTAATGGACAGATAATTGACACTTTTACACAAGTCCGAAATGATATATACTTTATCTGAGTTTTACAGCAAAAATGCTCATTATCTCTCCATTTGACGTAACTAGTATTTATAATTACCTGGGGTGCAAACTGAACTATTTTTATGCTATTTAGATATACTTTCGTAACAAAAGTAAGAAAGTAACGAAATACTTCGCCACAAAATGAAAATAGAGGCCTTACGATTTTAGGACGGCAACGGCTACCAATACAATAGATCATTGAAAAGAATTGAGTAATTACAATATATGAATAATTTAGACATTGTCCTCGCTCTGTTTACAACGCTAAATCACAGATTTTGACGCCTTGATACAACGGCTGCATTCCAAGCCGCAACAAGTGCAACTTCAAACTGGGTTTAGTAGAACTCTTCCCAACCATAAAACCCATGTCTTCAACTTCTAAAGGCCCGTTTACACTTGCAATTTCTGCTGCGATTTTAGGTGCGATTTTCTTCTTCTGATGGATGTGAACGAGTGGATGAGTTATAAATGTTGGCATGAGGGTACATCAGTGGGACATATACTCAGAACATTCATAACTTATTCACTCGTTCATATCCATCAGAAGACGAAAATCGCACTAGAAATCGCAGTAAAAATTGCAAGTGTAAACGGGCCTTAAAACTGTATTAAATTCATACGATTGATAATATACCACGAACTATCTTTACTACCATTTATTTGAAGGAGTTTGTTTTGGCCGTCGCATTGCCGTCCTAAAATCGTAAGGTCTCTATTAACGAAGTAAAACGTTACTTCTTTCCAAGACAAATACTCCAGAAAAAGTTTACTTTGTTACATGCTGACTTGTCAAAAATAGTACTCAAGTACAGTAACGAAGTACATTTATTTCGTTACTTGGTACCACTGGCCTTTGTTCTTATTGTAGGGTGCGAATCTACTATTGGTGCTGATAGGTTTAGAGCTCATTATGAGCAACTAAAGTAGTCAACACGAGTAAGCGTACAATTTAATCTGGAAACAATTGTATCTGGAAACTCTGAATCGAAAAAAAGTCGCAACTTTGTATTTGGAATTAAGCATTCGAATCCGAGAGAATTCGGTACTATCTCAAACAATCTTCGACCTGACTAAGTACTTTCTTTGCTTGTTTAAACACACTTTAGCGTTTTCAGCGTTTTTTTAAATTCATTACCATGAATATTCAGTTATTCACTTCATGCTAATCGAGGATTGAATTTTTTGCAGGGATTTGTTTGCTATGCACCCAGATAAAACGCCCTGGTGTGAAAACCTGTCTTTATACTGTTGTACTGTAAACAGTTTACATGTCCGAATAGTCGAATCTGAAATCTTCAGCGAAGCCGAAATCTTTCGTTGTAGTGTCGACGATGTCCTACACGTGCAGCGTAACTGTATAGAGCGCTTGCACATGACGTCACAGCCGCCATGTTGGTGTTCCAATTCAAAACATATTAATTAGACCCTTTTGTCTGGAACACCAATATGACCGCCACGGCTTTTGTTGAGTTGTTCCCTGGGGATTGAGTGCAAACGCTCTATGGTATGACATTTGTGATATAATCCTGAATAGTCTGTGCCAGTGTAGCTAGTGCCAATAATTAGAGAGATTGATAATAATACAAGTAGTTGATCAGATTGATAATAATACAAGTGGTTGCATCCGTAAATTCAGGTAGTTGTATCCCTATCAATCCAAAGTTGTCTGACATTTTTTGTTACTTTCACTCTTTTCAGATAATAAATGGTGAAGAGTGGCCGCCTTATTTAAAGGATGTCGACAATGTTACGATGCAGTATCCACCCAATACACCGGAGGATCGAAAATTCGCCATTGGTCACCCTTTCTACTGCATGCTGCCCGGACTATTCATGTACGCTACAATTTGGCTGAGGGAGCATAATCGTGTTTGCACTATCCTGAGAAAGGAACATCCACACTGGGACGACGAAAGACTGTACCAAACAGGCAAACTCGTTATCACTGGTGAGATTCATCGTAAAATTTGAATAAACCGGTCAGGTCCGCTCAGTGTATATACTAACCTGAGTATCAGGCTCTATTTTACAAATAGAGCCTGACACAAAACTTAACCTGATCGCTTTCCACCCACAGCAAAGTTTATATTTAGTATCCAATCAAAATGTCGCAGGAGAAATTTAAATTTCACACAACGACAACAACAATCTAATTATAGCATAGGCAGCCCACTAAACGGCTGAATTTAAATTAAAACTGCAATGAACTTATAAAATTAACAAAAATAATCGCAAATTAGCGAAATATATTGCAAATGTAGCTTATATTAAATCACCACCCGATTGCTCTCTCCTCCGCAGAGGTTTCAGTCAATCAGTGACTACAATGAGCTTTACTAACATGGCGCTTACCGTATTTATCAACAAACTGATTTTCTAATTATAAAGTATATATATATTAAGTATACTTTATAACTATACGTCAGTCGATAGTGCAATCTGATGGCGATTTAATATAAGCTACATTTGCAATATATTTCGCTAATTTGCGATTATTTTCTAATTTTACTGCAGTTTTAATTTATATTCAGCCGTTTAGTGGGCCGGCTATAATTGTAGTTGTGATCGTTATAAAATATATCAACAACAATAGTATAATCTAATTAGCACCAGCCAATCAAATGACAGATTTAAAATATCGTTTGTCTAATCGGCCAATCAGACGAAAAAGCCAGAATCTGGCTTTTTACATGCGCCGCGGTAAAGAATTGTATCAGGCCCTCCTTCATTCGCCGCCGCCAATTAATCCTGGCGAATGAAAACATAAGGGCCTGATACTCAGGTTATGTATATACGAAGTCTTTGATCCACTTCTTTTGACAGATTTTCACCACTATATTTGTATGATGGACGAGGCTAGGAGTGAAAGATTAATTTATGATTAATCTATTCCATTTTTTGTCATATCACTACGTCACTACGATGTAAAGTGCATCATCGACTGTGTTTACGTGTGAACGCCCTCACAGAGAATTCCCATGCCCGGAACGGATTTGACCGCCTCTATAAGATTAATGCGACCTATGCCATGAATCGATTAGTTTCCAAACCATAATCTTTAATGGAGAATTTTTTTACCATTGCTAACGATTCTTTATTATATAAAGTATAGTGCTTTATAGAGATTTCGAGCACTGATAAAAGTGATAATCTCACATGTGAGATTATTCATGATAATCTCACATGTGAAAATTATCGCTTTTCAATTATCGCTTTTCTGCAAAAATTATCGCTTTTCAAAGACTGTCCTTTATATAATAAACAGAAAAATACACGAGTGCTTGGAAATACCAGATTTATTTCTCGTGTTGAACATGATATCTCACTCGTTCGCTGCGCTCACTCGTGAGATATCATGTTCAACACGAGAAATAAATCTGGTGTTTCCGCGCACCCATGTATTATTCTCTATATAATTCTTCTTATATTAGGTGAAGTGATCAAAATTGTGATTGAAGATTACGTTAACCACTTGGCTAACTATAACTTAAAGCTCAAATACAACCCAGAATTAGTGTTTGACCATGGTTATGATTACAACAATCGCATTCACTTGGAGTTCAATCATATGTACCATTGGCACCCTTTTAGTCCCGACGAGTTCGATATCAGTGGCACAAAGTACTCCATAAGTGAATTTATGTACCATCCAGAAATTGTCGTCAAACATGGGATGAGCTCCTTTGTAGACTCGATGTCCAAGGGCTTATGTGGAAAGGTAATCATGTAACTATTTAAGAAATAGAAAGCGAATCGCGTGTGTTTATGGTGTGTTAATTCTTGATTGAGTCGGTTTTCTTCCATGTACCGAGGTGATTATTTTTAATAATCACTTTGAATATTAATTAGCTGAAAAGATGAAGGAAAACTCAGAAAATCGTCGTTCAAAGCAGACGAAACTTTGTTTGAAAACCTCCTCAATCAAGAATTAAATATGATAAACACCTCTCGCAAGTCGGGATTTATGTGAGATAATGTCCTCGGACCCTGCGCGTCCTCGTGTCATTATCTGACATAAGTCCCTCCTTCTCGGTGTTTATCTTATACATAATGCATGCAGGGAATGTTGAGAGAATATGGAAAAAGTGTGCAAAACACGAGGCGTAGCTGAGTGTTTCATACGCTTCTCGAGTATTCACTCAACATTGCCTGAGTGCCTTAAACACATGAGACGAGTTTTTCTATTTCTTTTATAATATAATATAAGTAGAAGATATTACATTGTAAACAATTTTACTCAAAAGATCAACTTTGAAATTCTCCTAGCATTCAGTGACGTCACGCGCATGCTTTTACTGTCACAAAAAATCTTGATAACATTTTGATGCTGAAGTTGCAGAGAAACTGTTTAAAATGCTGGAGGGGGACCCAGTGATACACAGACTAACTTGCTAATCTTTTTCAGTATTTGGGCTGCTGGATTTGCCATGAAAGACAAATCGTAGGTTTCGTCGTGTTGCTCAGTTTTAATTCTTGAAATTATTGTCTCTTTGCCTTTCGCCAAAAATATATCTACCATTTCTATCAAAAGCATTGAAGGTACTTTGTAAATCACTTGTGTTCAGTTTTTGTTGCCTTTTTCTATGTTTTTGGTGTTCCCGTGTATCTTTTTCAAGGTTTTTCTCGGCTATTTGCATGCTTTTGCCCAAAACGTGTCGAGGCCAAGCCAGTTAATTTTACTGTTTATACACGTAAAACTATTCATAACATTGCTTTGTTCCTTAGGTATATTCCTTCTTGTTTTCTGAAAAATGTTGTATTTTATTAAAAGCTCTATAGTTTTGTTTATATTTTTTACTAAAAAGCAGAGGAAAAACACAGAAAGAGCAAGGCAGTGCCACAGAACACAGTGCATTGTTTATTGCGTCACAATGCACGCGCATTAGCCAATCAAATTGTTTATTTATTTATTTATTTATTTATTTATATAACTTCGCCATTTGATAAATTTACACAAAATGACATGTATGCAATGCAACGGAAGCGGGGGGAGCAAACGTTTTTAGTTGCGGCGTCCTAAATGTCTTTAGGCTCTCCACCCACTTTTCAACAATGGTTAACGTATAAACCATTGTGTTGGTTGATATTATTTCAGTTACGCGTGTAGACAAAACAATTTGTGATATTTCATGAGATTCTGTTACCTGTAGAACTCTGTAAATCCCCTTCTAAAGTGCAGGAAATGGCATTTCATTTCTAAGTGTGCCCAATACAATACAAACAATATAATACGAGACAGTATATTATATATATAGTATAGTGCAATATATACAGTACAATGCAATAATATTTTAAGCAACAGATGGCTGGGACACCACAACGGTGTCAACAGTTAAAACCAATTACTACATGTGAGCCCTATGTGCTAGATAAAACATAAGCAGCCGATCTGTATTTGATATACAATTAAAATTGAATTAAAAATGACCCATCTTATGAGTTTATTGGCAAAGTAATTTTAAAAATAAACATTGTCTAAGCCAAGAAAATCAAAGCTGAAATTTATGTAAATCAGGACAAATCTTTATCCGATTTACAAACATTGATTAAATATTCATTTCTTTGGTATTTTCCTCGTGAATTATTAATGAATTTTTAAAATATATATATTAACTAGAAACAGCAATTTATAACTGACTGTTCAAACTACAACAAGGGTTACAGGATTTCCACGTTTTTGGATCCTCTGCATCATAACTATATGCAGGGCTTCCAAATAATAGTTCCGCAGCAATCTTTTCAATGTACTTAAAAACATATTTGGCTGTCTTAAGTTTGTTGGAAGACAGTTCCAAACTCTTGTGGCTTGGGTAAAATATGATTTTTGGAAGGTGGTAGTCATTTTTGTGGACGGAACAACAACTAGGTGGTATTGGATGATGGGGTTACTCGGGTGGGAATAATAGGTTGAGGTAGAACATCTTTATATACGTGGATCAGACCATTTACAGCTTTAAAAAAGAACACAAGATCCATATATACTCGTACCAGCTTATGATAGTGGTATCAGTTCCAAACTTATCAGCCTGTCGCGGTAGGACTCGTCTTTGTTGGCTTTCGCACAACGTTCTAAAACATGCTTGGTCCATGTGAGATCACTGGCGACCCAAGGCGGAATTTTCCTTTGTCTTCTGATTCTCGGGTGGAACTAATTATAAAAAAGACAAAGAAAAATTCCGTTCCGAGCGCAAAATTTCGCCTAGTGCAAAACTGGCTTTACACTGCATGCACTTTCCACATCCGCACCTAGCACCTTACCTGTACATGAGGAAATAACATCCTCTTTACCTGAAGCGAAGCACACGATTTATGATTATATGCATGGTCATTTTTAGATGTCACATCATAACCATGGGAAGTATACATTGGAAGTTGGTGTTGAAGTTATAAAGCATCAACGTGAACTGAGAATGCAGTCCTTCAACAATTATCGTAAACATTTTGGTCTGGAGCCGTACAAGTCATTCGAGGAAATGACTGGTAAGTGGTGTCTATCAGGATTTTCAACTAAGGGGCTCATGCAGGCTCATGCAGCCATTAATGAAACGATATATATATATATATATATATATATATATATATATATATATATATATATATATATAGATATATAGATATATAGATATATAGATATATAGATATAGATAGATATAGATAGATATATAGATAGATAGATATATAGATATAGATAGATATAGATAGATAGATATAGATAGATAGATAGATATAGATAGATATAGATAGATATAGATAGATATAGATAGATATAGATAGATAGATAGATTAA